GGGGAATTATATTGGTAAACGCTAATTAACTGTCAGTGAAGTCGCGGGTCGTTCGGGGTCATAAACAGCGTTCGTACTCCTTTCCAACGAGTTGATTTACATTGCAGCACTCCAGCTAACAGAAGAGCTCAACAACAATACCTTCACGAACTCTTCCGAGCTAATGGATACCCGATCTCTTTTATCGAACGAAGCAAGCGCCAAGGTAACAGACGACGGTCGGTACAACAGTAAGCCGAAGTCTGGATGGCCATTCCTTACATAAAAGGAGTCTCCGAAGCAGTCTTACGGTTGCTACAAACCGCTGACAGTTAATTAGCGCATACCATTATAATTGCCACCATCCTTTTTGGTTGAGAACAGCCCATTGAAGTTAACGTTGTAGCAGATTTCATCTGAAAACCCGGCGTAATAAATACGCTTAACAAAATTTTCAGGGGTTTGGCCTCCCAGGCCTGACAAATAAGTGACCTAATTTAATTTATCGTGATAAATGTTGTTAATTACCTGTTCATTCCACCGTTCGGAATGCTGCAGGCTGTCGTTTACTTCTCTGAACTCCTCAGCCGACCTAAATGGGGGGCTAATAGGATTCGCCGGTGGGCGAATTAGTGTTACTGAGCTGGAACCTGCGTGGACAACATATTTAATGCTGTTTGCAGTTCTCTTTGACCTCCTAGCAACCTGCTGACTCCGGACAGCACGACGTTAAGCGTTCTTTCAATTTTGCCAACACATCGGCCAATGACAATCATGCTGTATGGATTGGAGGTTTTACTGTGCCACTTTCTGCTGCTCTTGTCCAGGCTCCCTGCGCGATAGAATGGGTTTTTGTACATTAAATAACCACGTCCCCCGATTGAACCCTTCACGCTTGTAGGTTTGGCTTACGCTCTGCGTTCTTGCGGATCGCTATACTTACCTGCGGCTGGGTTTCTTCTCCCGCTCGGTTACCTCCAGTACACTGCACCTGCGTGTGACTTCTGTTGTGCTGGTGTTGACCTTCTGTTACACCATTCCAAAATTCTTCGAATTTGAGTTGCAACCGGTGCATGACGATCCTGGCCTTTACCGCGCTATGCTCACGCCAGTGGGCAAGTCAGGTCCTTTCAGGTGAGCACTTTCTTTCCTGTTTACTGATTCGCATATTACAGGGCCTGTATTGGTAGTCCTTATTCTCGCCATCGTAAAAGGGAAACCGCTACTCAATCGGTTTTACAGTAAGTCGTGCGGGGTGCAACTAAATCTTAGGAAATGAGGTAAACTGATATCAAGGAGAGCCAAAACACGCTTTTCATCTACGTTGAGGCGTACCGTCACTTCCGAAGTCACCAGTTAACCCCGCTTCATTAACTAACAATATTTTTCTTTACGTTCTCACTCGTAACTCAAGTGATCTTAGTTGTCGACATCTATAGGTAAGTTCAGGGATAAGTCTGGTACAGTAGATCCCAGCAGCTACAGTAAGAAATGGTCTCGTTCGAAGGCTGTATATTTTTTCAGTCGCGAGCTTCTAAGTCGTTGAGGTGTCACTTCCAATGGGTGTACGAAGATCTACTGTTCGCTATAAAAATGTACCAGTGAAACTATCCTAGGATGAACTTTTGCGGGAATTTGTAATTTAAAATATCTGGACTCTCTTCACCTTCAACGCAACTTCGCTCATTTTAAAGGGTTGAATACGCAGTGGCAGGCACCTCCAAAGGGTAACCTCCCGAAATCGGACCCATTTTTAGAAGACAGGGTGCCTGTCGCTTTCACAATTAGCTAAGCGATAGATGCATGTTCTGATAGGGCTCGTGGTGCAAGGGATGATTTTATGCGATGATATCTCCTGTACATCCTTCAAAACTTTGTGCAGTTGCTTTCGTGACTTACCAGCTGCTGAAATCACAAACAGCAGGCTGTTATTGCACCTAACTGACGAAGTGCACGTCGAATAAATGTTCGATACTGTTCTGTCACATGAAAGTTCTGCCGGCAGCCTGCTCGTAACTTTTATGTTTTGTACTTTTCGATTTTAAATTTTGATGAAAAACATCGAAACATGGACTTCTTAGAGTAAGTTTTAACAAGGTAGGAGCGCCCTCGTTTTCATCAAATATCTCCAAAGTTTACGTTTACTAGTACGAGGGTGCTCGTACAAGTAGCAATCCCGAGCTGAATTCCGAAAAAGTCATGCGTTAAGCAGGTACCTTTATCTACGATTGAGTCAACTATCGTGTTTACCTGTAATGGTTATTGAAAACAAGAGGCTGACTGCAAAATCATCAGACCTCATTGTGATAAAAATTGAACATCATTAAACAATTACTTTATCTCTATAGGAATATCATGGATCACCTCTTACGAGTACCTATCGAAATGTTCATTCCCTATCTCGTCGTGAGTGTCATCACCTGTTTGAATGTTTCTAAGATGGTTGACTTCGGTTCCTCCAAGTGGAAGGCTGTCGCCAGCCTCTGCTCACCCCACAAATACGGCTCTTTGGGTTGCTGCTGGTGCGGAGACGACTTCGCGAACTGTAATATCTTTCGACGAAGCCCCACTTCTGCGGAGCGCGCGACCCCTTCCCCCACTAATACTACCACTACCGCCTTTCCAAAAGCAAGCCCTGAAAAGCTGAAGGACGAGAAGGAGACGGTAGTTGACCAAGTATACTACTGCGGCATCCCCTTTGAAAAGCGCTCCTCTCTGATGCCCTTCTACTTTCTTCTTCCTCCGCCCAAGATGGAGATCCAGGAGAGTGCCAATGTGGTAATTGCCGTATGCCTCGGTTTCCTCCTTGTGCTCACTAAATTTCCGAAACTCATTCTACACGTGCTTACAACAGAGCACTACATCGACTACGATGACACTTATCTGGCGTTAGCCTATGCCTTCCTTAACCTCGCCTTCATTGCCTTCAAGCCCATGATTTACCTTGTGCTGGGGGTTCACTTCCGTCATGCCCTGACAGGGTTCTGCTGCTGTGCTTGTCTCTACACACCACGAATGCGTAGTGTTCACAGCTCGCTGGAACATGGCTTCCGAGAATCCAGCATACAGTACACAGCCGCGCGTGCCAGTGCAATTGAAAACGGAGGTGATGAGACAAGTGTTGTTACTGCAACGGAGACGGCGATAGGATCCACCATTGAGGACGAAGTCGGGGAACTGCCAACAATAACAAGGGTTCGGTGGGATGCAGAGAACGGTGTTAAGTTGGCGGACTTGTCAAAGGGGCCGGCAATGCAGCAAACAACACAATCTGGGAGCGAAACTGCAGAGGAGACAGCCACGTTGACGCGCAAGGCCAGTTTTGAAACGGGGGGATCTGCCGTCTGTGGGAGCACGGACGACGACGACGCCAACCAGAGAGGCCCTGTTTTACAATCAGAGCCCAGTGGGGTGAATAGGCGTAACTCGAGCTCCGGCCAGTTCAGGTCGGTAATAAGAACTGCGTCAAAATCCAAAGCCGGATCTGTGGTTCCGCCGCCTACGACGAAGTTGAGGGCGATAGGTGACAGCATGAAGCATAGCAATCCTACCGAGCAGGTGTAATTTCTGTTGTTGCTTCCTCCTTTGCGCGTTTTCCATCTCTTATAGACTTAGCTGTCGGCTGTTTGTATTTGCTGTACTTGACCCGATCGGCCATAAGTTGTGCTCTACCATTCTGTCATTCACCACATCCATCTGTTGTTCTGTATTTGTGATCTGTGTGATTAAAAAATCACACATGCTCCTTCTCATTCCGTTTTCCGTCGCCTCTGCATAATACGGTCCCATCAAACGCAGTATAACGATAATCCGCCTCGCTTGTTTAAGCATTCCGGATAAGTAACTAGGTTAAGCCACTATTATGAGAATGAGTTACGGAATTGAGTACTAGGACAGAAACTGCAGAATGTGGTCTGCAGATTCGCCTAGCTGAGGATTATCCAGCACATCTAGGCAATCAACGGCTTTCGGGGAAACATTCACAACAAAATTAAACAGTAATAAGAACTTCAGGTATGGCTCTGTGGCCATATTGCAAAGGAACTAGATATAAAAGACTAAATCATAGTCGAGTTGAGACAGCGAATGTTTCGCGCCACTCAACAAGGTTTCTCCCAGCGCCTGACACAAACTTCTGCAACTATCGCAAATGCTGCAAAGTCGTAAATATAAAGCACGGTATTAACGAAGCACAACAAAATTTGAAAAATCGTGTCGTAGCAATTGTGTCACAAAATGTCCAACGAATTCCTGGAAGACGCCAAGTGATCAGTTTCCCGAATCTTTAACCAACACACAACGGTTATAAGTATTGCCTAATTTTGAAAAGCCAATACAGCAAACATTTGTATGCAGTACTTCATCGTCCGGTCTATACCATTACCTCGGTGACATACATATGTATGAGAGTTGTACATGGGTTATAAATGCCTTAAGGTTAATACACATCGTTCTCACAGTTCCCACACGACGAAGTCGATATGTTGGGGTCATTGGGGCTGGAGACGGAAGAGAGCAGGATAGGCTGTGAGCAATGTAGGTCGAGTACGGGGTCTCAACATCATCGTCAATATCGCAGGGAGAACAACTGTCATCG